AAAAACTGATTCTTCTTGTTGGCATGGACAGGGCTGTAGCAGATGGTATGGTTGCTACAGTTTTGGCCAGACCAAAAATGAAAAGGCGTTGAGGGTGCGTTTATATTAAAGTTAACTAACTTAGTAACTTGTGTTTACATTATTATTATTGTTGTTATTATAATGCCAATAATTAATTTATGGCATGAATTATTTACATACTACAAGAGGTGTGTACTACACATATTGAAAGATGGCTTCATCCTCCCTACAGCTTATGTAGTTCTTCTGCAACATCTAGTTCTACAGTTGAAATCGAAAAACCACACCAAGCAGTTGATTATATGTATCCAAAACGTTCTTTTGGAAAGACTAATGTCATGCAAAGGAGTTTTCAAGGATCCTGGTTCAAGCAATGGCCATTTCTTCATTACAGTGAGGCTGAAGATAGCATATACTGTATAACTTGCTGTATGGCTTTCAAATTAAAGACTATCAAGACCAGCTGAGCTAATCCAGCTTTTGTGAGTATTGAAACCAATATGACGTTTACAATTCTGAAATTATTGTAGGTAAAGGTTGGATTTACGAACTGGAAACATGGAACAATTTGTTTTAGGGCTCATGAAAGTGGTAGCACATCATGAAGCTGTAGATGTGATGATTACTCTACTCTCTACTGCACAAGGTATTGGGGAGCAACTTTCTCTTGAACATGCAACACAGAAAGTTCCATATAGTCAGGCTTTGCTTCATATCCTGTCATGTGTTCGATTCCTGTGTTGACAAGGTCTTGCATTGATGGATAATGGTGATGAGTCTGACAGCAACTTGCATCAACTTCTGAAGATTAAGGCTGAAGATGATACTAATTTGAAGAACTGGTTAAAAAGAAAGGAGAATATATACTAGCCCTGAGATTCAAAATGAAATGATTAAGGTTATGGCTCAAAAGGTACTACAAGATATAATAGAAGACTTTCAGACTTCTTCGTTTTTAACAGTTATGGCTGATGAAACAACAGATGCCATCAATAATGAACAGGTTACTTTGATCATTTGTTGGGTAACAAAAGCATTGGAGGTACATAAAGAATTTGGAAAAATTGATTCAAATAAATTGACCGCTGTTAAGGATGTACTCTTGAGAACAAATCTATCAATACATAAGTTTCGTAGACAGTGTTATGATGGGGCTAGCTCATGAGTGGTTCAAAATCATGTGTTGCTAAACAGATTTGTGTTATTGGACCAAGAGCTGTTTATACCCCTTCAAGAGCTCAAAAGTAATGAGGGATGCATTGGGAGATAACTGAATTGATCAAATGTTCACCTCGAAGAGAAGCAGCGTTTCAAAGTCTTAAAGATAACACAGTTGAGAAGTCATGAGATATTGCAAAATGCCTGTGCTGAAGTGCTCCCTGAAACTACTGATACTGAAACAAAGGCAAGATTATGAAGTGTATTGGCTCAGATAAAAACGTTTGAGTTCTACTTTGGTGTTGCTCTTAGTGAGATGATAGTACAGCACACAGATAATCTGAGTAGCACCTTACAACACAAGACAATATCAGAAGCTGAGGGATAGGAAATTACTAAAATGGCAATTGAAACCTTAAAATTAATTAGAACAGATAATTCATATGATGACTTCTGGGAATTTATTGGCAAATCGGCAATGTCACTTGATATCATAGAGCCAAAGCTCCAAATGACCAGCCAGGTATGAGGATGGTTTATTTAGTGGAGATTTTCCTACTACTCCAAAAATCTATTTCAGGCTGCTTTATTATGAAGTACTGGATCTCAGTATTAATTGTATTAATAAGCGCTTTAATCAGCCTAGCTGCAATACCTATAGGCACTTGGACTTGGAGACACTTCTTTTGAAAGCTTTTAAGCAGCAAGATTATGAAAAAGAGTTGCTAGTAGTATCAACTTTTACAAAGATTATTTTAATTTAAGTAATCTTCATACTCAGCTACAAATATTTTTGTGGTCTTCATGTAGTGCAGCAAGCACAGCAAATCCTAGTATTGTTGACATCAAATTTTACTTCCTCTCACTGACTCCTGGACAAATGTCCCTGCTCTCTGAAGTTAAACGACTTCTTCAACTGATCTTGGTAATGCCAGCAACAAATGCTACATCTGAGAGATCATTTAGTGCATTAACGCACATAAAAAGTTTCTTAAGGAGCACAATGGTACAACAACACCTTAATCATCTCATGATTTTGCACATGCATAAAAGCAGAACTGACTCGCTAAATTTACATTCTACTTTGAATGATTTTGTCGCTGATTCAGAGCATCACTTCTCAATTTTCTCAAAATTTTCTTAATAATTAAACATTAATCATTGTCTGTAATTAGACCACACCCACTAATGAATAATTAATGAGGTGCAAAAATTTTTTCTTCCTCACACCATCCTAAAATGCCTTGTTACGACTATGGCCATGGAGCTTTGAAGGAAAGAATGGTTGCTGCTAAGCATCTCCTAAAAGGGATTTGGTGCAATATGAAGTATATTCTTTATTTACAGCTTGCTTTCTGCATTAGCTCCACCGTCCATGAAAAAAATTTCAGAGCAAGTCAGGCTCTTGCGTACACACTATTGGTCCCTTTTTCGAGGAAATTATATTTCGCAAATTTTAGATTTTGTAAATTTCACGGAATTAATTTTCGCGAATGAAAGTAAAAAATGACCACGTCCAACAATTTTTAACCATAGATAATAGAGTAAATGAAAGGGATTGGAAACGGGGCATAGCAACAGGAAATGCTATTTGGGTTACCACGTGACAACCATCAGTGTTTTGCCATCTCCTCCGTTGGTGAAGTTGCCCTAGAAGGATTTTGAAAGAAACTTGTGTTGCTCCAGAACAACGCTTGCTTGTGATTTATAGCCTTTTGCAAATATAATTTTTAGAGCTACCCACAGCAAGTTTTTGTCACTGTAAAGCTATGTTGCAATCAGTTATAGGTACAACAAAATCAACTATTTTCGGTACACTTTAGCTCTTGTAACAAACTCATACATTACAGATTCTGACTCTAACCTGTATAATTACTTTGGAAAGTGTAAGGCCTTTCATATGATTATAATGGTTTCCATTTTTGCTTTAGCATGTTTTGAGAAAAGGAGAATAATGGAATAAATGACATTTTAAGAGGAAAAATGGGCTGTATTGTGAAAACTATAACATTTTTTGCACAATAGATAACAGTAGTGTTGAGAGGAAACATCAGGCTTTTTGATGCATCAGTTTCACTAACATGAGAACAGTCTTTCGCCAGATATTGCTCCTAAAAAAAGGAAAAGTAGCATAAAAATGGTGACAAAATCGCAACAAGCCTCAGTTTGCTTAGTAACAATACAAATGCATGGAGG